TCTGCTTGTTATTTTGTTCCTGCTACACGAATGTAGAATGTTCTTTTTTTTCCTCTCTCTTTTGCCAAAATGCATAATATTGTTGACTACTTCCAGACCCATCTCAGTGGTATTGCAGCATTTATGGATCACACAGATGCATTGAGCACCTTTTACTTGCCAAGAGTAACAGTGACACCCTGTGGCAAATTCAGTGGGGGACTTGCATCGAATTGTCATTGTTTTCTTTCAAATTCGCCTCTGAATTTCTTACACCATAGGGAAAATCACAGGAGGAATCCCTCCTCTACATGTAGAAGGGCTTCATCGATTTCCCATTTGTTTCTCAGTAGATATCTCCATTCCTGGAGTATATGTCTAATGAGCACTTTAATTCTAAGATAGAGAGAACTCTCTCTGCCCTGGCCACTAAATACTTGGGAAGGTAGAGCAGGAAACATAGAAACAGCAAAAAGAAGAAAAGACTACATTTCAGTTTAAATTGTTGGTACAGGAATATACTGCTGTTCATTATCTCTCATACTGCTTTTGTCTAACATGGAAACCTTCCACTGAATGATATTGGTATGTAATGACAAAATATCCACAATATAAAACTACCACACAAACAACTAGTTGTTGAAGTTAGGATCATCCTTTTAACTGCTCACTTGCATCTTTAGTTTGGTTTGCTTACTGAATCTAAATAACGTAGCTGCTCTGTGACTCCTGACATAATTCTGTTTCCAGTTATGTCCTTCACTGCCCTGTACTGTAGTTCTATTCTGTTATCACATACTTACGTAAAAGGCATGCACCCCAGTTAAAAAAAGAAACAATTAGTTTATTCTTTCACACTTGCTGTGTCATCCAGGCAACATAGCTGTCTGGATACTATCGTCTGCACACTGCAAGTGTTTTAAGCCTCATGCATGGTAAATAGTTGGCAAAAGAAAGATTTTTAAAACTTCATGAGCAGTCTGCTTTTGGCTGGTTTGGGTTGGTTTTTTTTTGTGGTGGTATGGTTTGCGGTTTTTTTAAGGGATGTAGGAAGGAGAAAGAAGTTTCAGAAATATTGGGCAAAGATCTCTGTGAAACATCACCTGAATCTTCTGTAAAACACAGATTGCTTAAAAAAATTAATGGGCATGCAGGGAAGAGTGTCATAAATTAGGTATTGTGTCCTCCATGCTTGAAATTTTAGCCCATTATGTCTTGTCCTATCAAGAGTTCATTTAGGTTAGGGGTTTGGGTGGCAGGGTGGTGTTCTTTAAGCAGTGGTTTGTTTGAAAGATTTTTGTAAGTGGGTTAGGCAAGTGTTTATGACAGATATTGTACGTAGAGTTGGCCCTATCTTGAAGCAGAGAGATGGAGCAGATGAATTCTCAGGGCTTCTCCCAGTCCTTCCTTCAGTCCGTTTATGGTTATGTCAGTGTACTTTGTGTTTTAGTATTGTTTAGTATTGTACTTTCCCAAATACACTAAGTCTCATTCTCTCTGCTTGAGTGTCGTCCAGAAGAAGACTGCCTTTTCTCACTACCTCTTTCCATTGGTGGGCTCTGACAGATCTGTTTGGTGCCATACAGATAGCAACTCGTAGCATGAGTACGTATGTTGAACAAAGCAAGCACATTACTTCCACCACCAAAAGCCCTCTGTGGTCCTGAAGGGCCTGCATGGAATGCCACTGGAGACCGGCATGGAAAGGGAAAATTAAGAGGTAACTCCATTTTCAAGCACAGCTATTTCCTTCTATTTAGTTTTACAGGATCTCTGCAGGTCAGTTTTCAGAATCAGCCATAGACCGTAATTTCTGTTGTACTGTGTTCCTGGCTTCATGGTTATTCCCCTGGGAGCTTACTGTATCTGAGGAGACCATTGAAAGATACAGGGGCTCTAATTCTCCCTTGAAGAACTCAGCTGTTACGTATCAGATATGAGCACTCCCTGACAGACTATGCAGATAAGACATTGTTGACTATTTTTTTGTGCAGAAAACTTAAAACCCCACAAACCCACAAACAAAACAAAAACCCACAAAAGAAAAAGGAATGTAACTGAAGGGAAAATGAAACCAAAGAATTTATTTTTCCGATTGTTTGAGCAGAGAAAAAATGCAGCAGGCAAGTAGGGTGCATGAATAGTGACAAGGCAATTAACGTGCCCATCCTTGTGGGCTCTGTGTTTTGTATCAAATATGTAATACAAATATTGTAACTTTTAGCTCTTTCTAAAATCTTTAAACCTGTTCTGTGCTTCATCAGCAGGTAGCTACTCGTCCTTGCCTTTGCCCCTGCAGCTACCATTCCACCACTCCACTCTTCCGACTTACTCTTTTTCTCTGTTACGTCTCCAAATTTTTCAGTCTCTCTTCATACTACTTTTTATGCCTTCTGGGTCTTCTTCCTCAGTTTTTCGGCAGAGCCTGCTTGGTCTGGAATATGTGAGTTCCCTTCACAGCTGACTGGTCAGAGCACTCTGAGAATAGAATGGACAACAGCAGGCAACACTTGCACGTGTCCTTGTGTCCATCCAGGTCCAGCTCACCGGTTCTGTCTCTTCCCAGCAAACAAGTCCCCATAACCTGTGCCTCCCTCCATATAGCACTTCATATAGCTTGAAGGCACTGCTTGACAATAGCTCACGTTTCAATATTGTTTTAATTGGGCTTTTAGCTATTTGCATTAGTTGAGATTTAGGGAAAACTATTTTCAAAACAGCAAAAGTAAAATTGGATTGGGTTTTATGTGTTGTTTTATATCTGGATGAATCACACAAGTTTCTTACAAGAGAATCATTTTATTAAAGTCCTCTATCAACTGTTTGTCTGATTCCTTGTATGCTCTTCGTATCATACCAAATTCTCTCAGGTACAGATTTACCAGTTACAGAAGGAAAAAATTGTTGGGTTTTTGGTCCGTCTCCTTTCGTTTCTTTCTTTGGTCTTTTCTTTTTTTATAAAACACCAGTGATAGCTTTTCCACTGCACATGGCTAAATATTTAAGAATATATTAGAATACAGATATGAAGAAAGAATTAATTTTTAAGACAATTCTTAAGAAATAGCTGCAAGCATTTCACTGTCTCCTTTTAGTGAACTGGGCTCTTCCCTTAGCTACCATTGTAAGTACACTTCACAGCACAGGGACAATACAAAACAGGAATAACAAAGGCAGTTTTGTTTATCAGAGAGCATTGGAAGCCAGAGTTGCAAAAACTTCATATGTCTTTGATACATTAGATTACTTTCAACTACATAGGAAGTCAATATAAACTTAGGTGCTAATCCTGTAAAGATGTATGCATTTGCTTGATTTTTACATACTACACTGTCCTGTTGAAGATAATGAGTTTAAGGTTTTGGAGCTGTGCTTTTTTTTGATTTGTTTTTGTTTTTTTAATATGGTGACTCTGTGGGTCAAACGTTGTTTCATGCAAGTGATGAGAAATTTGCCACTGATTTTTTTCCGAATAGGAATATGGTTTTGCAATACTGGATCAAGAGAAAGACCCATTAAAGACAGTGCAGAGACATCCTATTAATTTATTTAACAGTAATGTTTGTTTAAATTAATAGTATTATTGTATATTAAATACTGTTTATACTATAAATTAATAGCATACTGGGTGAAGTATTTTGTTCTTCATGAGTGCTTAATCCCATATGACTTAGAAACATGGGAAGCAGTATCAAGCTATGAATGAAGATAAGAAATCAACTTATATATATTTTCCTGTCTAGAATAATATGCCATAAGGGTGCTGATAGTCATTATGTAATCTGTTCTGGGAATGGAAATAAGCACCATTATTATTTGGAAATACCGTGAGTGCAATTAGCAGTTTGAATCTACTAAATTATTAACATCTACTTAAATTTGAAGAATGAGTTGTTTTACTTCAGTAAAGATTTCTAAGCAGATTATAAACTGCATTTTATTTTACATTACATTCTCCAGACTATGTTAGATTATCACCTTCTCTTTGAATGGCTTGAAACCAAAAGTTTTTACCAGTATAATGAAAACAAGTCACAGGAACACATGCCCAGTTATAAAATACTCTATGTACATTTTTTACCTTGTCTCAACTCCATTTGGTTATTAATTTTAAAAGGTCACAATACTTAAGACCAAGTGAGTTAAGTTTCTTACATTGTTCATGAATCATCTTAGTCTACAACTACATTACTTAGTTTACACACACATACACACAGAGGATATTTGCAAAACTAAACAAAGATTTTCTGATGGCATCTGCGTTTTGAGAATTGGTCAGTTCAGTACCAGTTCTGTCTCTCCAGGACACCCATAGTAGAGAAAGTGACTGTAAGAATGTCCATTGACTTCAATTAAGTAATTTGTATCAAGGTAGAGAACCTTGCCAAACTGATATTAAACAAATAATATAAACTTGGGGGTTTTTTTTTAGAATAAAGGTGTGTGTATGCAGGTGCTTATATATACAGCCACGACTTTTTATTAATATGTTCATTATACAATGACAATTTAATTAATCTGGTATATATAAGCATATACCTGGCTGATCAAGCCTGGGAAACTGGGGAACACTGGAGTGCCTTTAGGAAAGTAGGTGCTAACTTCACCAGTGTATTACTCCAGTTTTACATGGTGCTTAATATCCTGAGAGCAACCAGAGTAGTGCAGTGGCAAATCAGCACCTCAGCCCATAAAAGCTTGTTGTCAGTTGCTCTGTGAAGAGCTTGCATTTACTGCTTCAAGCCAACATACAGACCTGTGCAACACCAGCATGTCACTTAGTACATGCATTTAATTTGGATTGCAGACTGGAACAAGATTATAGTCTGCCTATTTAGCCCAGTAAACATTAATCTCTTAGACAAAACCTTCCAGTCATGGCCCAGCCTCTCCCCATGCCGGAGCCTCCTGCTTCATTTGGTGGATCTGCTTCTGTAGTTCATCTCTGTCCAGCTTCATTTTTGCTTCCAGAACTTGCTGTAGAGACCCAATGCTCTCATAGATAGCTGAAAATCCTAATTGCAGGTGAGAATTAAATTAGTTCATAATCTAAAGCAAGAGTATTGCATAATTACTGTCAGAATGTGCTTTCTACCGTAACGCTTTGCTTTACACTCGGAAGATAGCAATAGTTCTGAAGAAAAGCTTTAGTGTAATTGTGTGCTGATGGCACACATGTCCCCAGTGTCAGCCAAGTTATGCCTGTCTATGCTCTGGGGAGAGCACTTCTAAGCTAGTAAGATGTCACCTCTTTTTGCTGTGAATTTCCCACTTAGTGGAAATTGTTTTTAAGGCCACTGGTGCAGCCATTACCTCTGGCGCTTTAGTCTTTAAACCCCTTTGATACAAAGAAAGGCATTTCTCATATTATTATAGGTTGATCATTGTTACCACAATTCAGGATAAAGAACTTTAACAATGGTCCTACCAGCATTAACTTCAGCTTTCATGTCTTTTATATCTTCATTTATCTCATTTTGAAGTTTGCCAATGCGAATATTTATCTTTTCTTCAGTCTGTTTTGCTTCGTGTGCTTCCATGGTTATCTTCTGTATTTCTTCTATTTTGTCAATTTTCTCTGCCATTTGGTTGAATTTCATCTCTATAGCTCTTTCACTCATTTCCTGGAGCCAGGAAAAAGAATTTTAATTATTTACATATGAAATTACAGCAGTCTTTCCCAAATATGCAATAGATATTGATTAATCATCTTTTATGTGGAATTCAAAGGCGTAAAGAATTGTAATTTTTAATAAAAGGGTTTAACCTGACGATTGCTGTAGGATACAATACTGAGCTATTTAGAAGTGGTCAGCTTTATGTGAAAACTCTCAAGCTGTGGGGATGTTGTACTTGAGATCAGTGAATAGAGGCCTAGAAATATTGAAGAGGACTGAAAATCTCACTCAAATAATATCTCAATTACATTACCTTAGTTTATTAATAATGCTTTTGAATACTTCCTGAAAAGTATTATTAGGACATTTTAACCAGACTTACAGTGTTTTCCTTAAAAGTCAATGAGAGTTGGTCAATTTTTTGCACAAGCTCTTTTTCAATCCTTTCATGTTCCTGTTCCAACCAGCTACGTGCAGACAAAATCTGGCTGCTGAGTTCCTCAATAGCATTTTTTAATCTAAGAGCATAATAGAAATTAGCAGATACAAAAGAGCAGAACCTTTGGTCATTCAGCAGTGACGTTTTACGAACATGTTCATAAAAAAAAATTAATGCCAATTTCATACATTCTTGACAACATATGAATGTGAATCTTTAAATTTGAAGGCTACTGAACTGGATGAGGTAACATTGTTTTAGAAATGATGGAAAAGCACAACATAATAGCAGTTACTTATACGAAACACATCACATTTTGAGGCATAGTAGATGCAAATTCTTTGCAGCATTGAAAACAGAATATGGTCATCCATTCAGATTATCATCTTCATGTCCATAGGTCTTAAATCTGAACAAAGATTTGATGCCCATTGATTTCAGTGGCTGTGCTAGTTCGTATAGCCCCACTTGCATTGCCTGTACCCCACTGAAGTTTACACCAAACAATTGTGCCAGTGAAAATGTTCCTTTCGACAGTCTTTTTTCCCAGTGAATATTTGAAGCCTGGATTTATTCTTACATCTGGTTTGTAAATAGTTTTACTGACGTAACCAATGGGATTGTACAAGGATGGCAATAAGCAGTAGGGTGTAAGGATGCCAGTGGCTTAAGGCAGGACTGCCACTGAGTGAAATGCCTGGTGAGGAGCTAATCCCTGAATTGAATGTATCCCCATATAATGTCTAGTAGTAGCACAGTAGCTCATCATTAATCATTTGGGTATTTGCATAATATATACATATTTGAAGCCAATTTAAAGCAATAACACTTTGTGAATGCTGTGCCTCACTTTCTGGTTGCTTAAGTTAAACTCTTTACCTTGCTCTTGATGACCACCTCCAGCATTCATTGTTTCCTACAGCTCTTGCAAAAAGGTACCTGACCATTCTCACAACAATCCTTAGTTGTGTTCTTTAATACAAGTTCTGCCTGAATACTTGGCTAGGGCCTTTTCAAAATTGCCTAACCACATGAGGGGCAGAATTCTTGCTAAAAGCGAGTCCCACTTAACAGACCATTGTGCTTTTGTAATATCTTTTGAGCACACATACATATTTAAACAGGTTCATGCTTTTGTAGACGTGAAGATTACAACACTCAAGCTTGGAAGATTGAGGCCCTGTCTTCCAAGGTGCACGGCAGCAGCAAGATTCCCGGGCACTCACTTCATATCCAGAAGGTGGAGCTGTTGGTTGCTCTCTTTGTAGGCAATCTTCAGCTTTGCTTCTTGTTGCATTATTGATTGCTCCACTCTGCTCAGAAGATGAGAAATCTGAAACAAAATTCAGAATTTACTACTTTTCGACAGCATTTCATCACAGCCTCACTTTGGACGTTTTCTTGATAGTAGAGGAGATCTTAAGGGCCATTTTTGCTGACATTTCAAAAATTACGGAATTTGCACATTTTAATTTATCATGAAAAATATATTATCTCGCAAGATGAAAGTATCAACTTTGTGAATACTCTAATTTTTCAGCCATAAATAATTTGAGCAGTCTTGTCTTGAAAGTATCTGCCTGCTCCCCGCCTTGAGACAGCTGAATTTACATGATCTGTACATCTCCATGTTGTCATAAGCAGAGTATATGAATGAGTGGTTACTACAGTGACAAAAGTGCTGGATTTAACTGGGGTTAGGTCATTACTACCAGAAAATATTTCTCACCAAAGCAATCATCCCAGTTTTACAAAACACTGTTCTGTTTGACAAGATTAATGACAATATGCTCATAGTGTGCTGGTGTGCTAATATAATATACTGAGTTTCCAGAGAAAGGTAAAGTGGATCTTAACCATTTCCCTACCACAAAATGAAGTTGAAAAATACTTTTGTTGCCCAAGAAAATGAAAGAGAAACCTGACAGACAGATTAATGGATTCACAGAACCCAAACCCAGTTTTGTTTTGCAGACCTTTAAAATTTATGTTCAAGTACACATAGAATCATCCTGGGAAGACCAAAACATACAGGGAGAGACACTGCTGCTTGCGTTGTCTGCTAGTTTTGTAGAGCACCCATGTTCACATTCCAACTTCAAGAAGCCATTCAGGCCAGTAATCATGGGCTCTAGTTCACTCCTGAAGTCTTTTCAGGTGCCTTTAAATACCAGCACCTTCTACACAGCATGCTAAAGGCAGCAAATGAAGGGCTTTTATCAGTTAGACCAGTGCAGTAATGCCGCTAGGTACCAATATTCTATCTAATACGGCCTGTGAGCAGATACACCTCTCCATTTGTATATCTGTGACTTCTCAGGATAGTAATTAACAGTAATGGAGTCTGTGTGAATTAGACTATAACTCTTACCCATCCATGGATCATTTTGGTCCGAGTACCATACCTGTATTTCTGCCTCTTTGATTTTAGATTCCAAGATTAGCTTGGAGGTGTGTTGGTCTTTACTTAAGCTCTGAAGTCTTTCATACGTAATTTTGTGCTCTGCAGACAGTCTGGCTAACCCAGCATCACACCTGTTTGAATAAACAAACACCAAAGCAACAGCTGAAAAGAATATAAGGTCTGAGCTTTTTAAATTATCCATTTTAGACTGGGCATTTGTGTGAAATTGCTGTGTGTCTAGCAAAACAATGTCTTATGAGGCTGTAAGAATGGTAATATATCTCATAGTATTCAGCAAACTGCTTCCAAATGGGACTAGAAGTCAAATAGTCCGACACATACATCCCTGTTTTCTTGGCACTGATGTAATATGTGTAGACTGTGCTGTTGTCAGGTAAATCACATTAAAAATGCAAAGATGCAGTATTTCAATACCTCGTATTTTTGTCATACCCCAAAAGGCAGTTGTTAAGGTGTGTATGATTTCACCTACGTGATTAGAAGCCTAAATAATTGAGGACTGGTTTTTTCATTATTGTGGCTGTGTTTCTCTTGAGTTTCACATTCTTATTTTTGTTTGTGAAATAGTAACATACAATTAATATGTGTAGCAAACAATATGGGCCAAATTTTACAGTTATTAATCTCTAGGTAAGACTGTTGTTGAAAGCAATGGCAATTTTATCTCACAAAAGACTATGAAATGCAGTTCTGGAACATAATAATTACTGTTTTCTTTCGTCATATTGAAGCATTTCTTTATGCTGTAACATTTTCAGGATAAATGTGCTATAAAAATATGTGCATTTTCTATCACATTTCAAAAATACTTTGGTCAGATGGGTTCATGTACTTTAATACAATAAGGACATTAACTGAGCTGTAAAAATGTAAGTACTGTAATTTCAGGAGTAAAACCTCTGTGAAGTATGCATCTTCTTTATTTTTTTGCTAAGGGAAATACGTAATTGGCAGTGTTACCAAATCTGATTTATGAAACTGATGGGGAACAGTTACAATATGAGGGAGAAAAAGGCAGTAAAATGGAGCAAGCTAAGGGTGTTAAGTCATTACCTAATCCAGTGACACGTTTTAACCTCATTTTAGTCACATTTCAGTTTGAAAGCTTTCATTTCAACATGCATTTTCATCGCCTCAGTTACTGTAACTACCGTTGTCATTAAACATGAAGGGAAAGTAACAGCTAAAATGACAAACAGAGCATCTGCTTTGTCTTACAGTACAACTTCAATATGAAAATAATCAATAATGCAAAATAACACTAAGAACTTGAGGAAACTAATTTATCATTCAGCAGTTCAGCATTGTGAGACCTATATTAGTCATATCCCTAGGAAGAGCAGCTAAGGTTTACGCAGCAGTGAACCATACTTGTAGGTCTTACAGCCAGGCAGTTTCTTTAGAAAGATGAGAGATGCCAAATCTCTCCATGTTGTTATGATCAATCAGAGAGAATCAGAGGAATGAAACCATCTTGCAACTAGTGGAACTAGTGGACTCAAAAAAAGTGTTAGTTTTGTTTCTCTGAGGCATGACAAGAAAATACATAAAAAGCAGCAGCTTTGAAACTACCGTAGCAAATGTAAACAAGGCAACTGTAATTGTTTTTAAGGCAAATTAGTGTTTTGTGTTTAAGCACAGTGCATGTCTCTTCTTTGTGGAACTCGGTTACGTGATCAAAGAGGTCACACGTTTGCATGGGAACCGAAGCATTAAAATTCTGAGTATGTTAATTTAGTGTCAGCCTGGTATGTACTAATCAGATTATTTAATTTTTCTACAGGAATATTGTAACTGGCACCCTTTTAAAAAAGGTTGGAATAAAGTTAAAATTCATTGTCTGTAGTTACGGAATGTTTATCCTGCTATTTTTTTTAAACAATATTCTATATACTGAAGTTGTCGAAGAGAAGTCTCCTTGCTATATATATACACTCACAGACACTTGATTAGTTTTGACCTGGAAGAAAACATGAGTGTGCTGCAGTCTCAGAGGGAGATGCTGGTATTAGTTATGTGAATATACATTTTGACTTAAAAACTTGCAACAATTAAATAGTCCGTGCTTCCACTACCTTTAAAATGGGGAGGCGTGGGGGGAGCGGGAAGGAGAGGGGCAATGTGGAAAGGAGGTAGTAATAAGATGAACATATGGAAAACCATGGGTTTTAACACTTTCGATTCAGGTTTTTACTGCATGATTGGTCAGAAGAAAATCCGCAATCTAAACAAAAGGGCACGCTATATTTCAGAATTTTCCCCTGGTTTTCTTTTTTTTACAAAAAGAGAGGAGGAAAAGAAAAGGCTTACTACAGTCCCCACTGCTTTTCCCAAACCTCTGGAAGTTCTACTTTGATTCTTCTTTACAGATCATGTTAAAATGACAAAAGAATTCTTCTTAAAAATAGAACTAAATGTTTCTGAACACTGGATTTAAGCTCCTGGGTCATTTAATCAGACTGTCTATATAACTGAAGCCAGTGAACTATGAATATAAAGACAGAAGCTGAAAACAACTTTGGAGGTTTGGTTCATCTTAAAAGCATAAGGCAAGAAATGAGAAATAGATTAAGATTCCCAGGAAGAATACTAGTTTAAAAATGGAAAAGCTCTATTAGAAATAATTTTGTACAAAGAAATGCACAATAAATAATTCTCTATTTTAACATTTGAAATGCTGAAGCTGGCCATACAGACAACCCAGTGCAGTTTTCATGTGCAGTTGCACACATGCACTGTTGACATTTGGGCCAAAGATGCACTCGAATGTGTTCGTTTTACTGCTGTTTGATTTTGGAGGAAATACTCTGAGAGTTCTGACTGCCAAGCTTTGTATTTATCTGAGATTAGTAAATGAAGAACAAATGGAGAGATTTCATATTGTCAAGTATTATTCTCAGTTTTGGAATACAGTATTATACTAGAAACCAGTGATGTTCAATTTAAACAGTGAAATTATCAAACAACTGCCTTCCAGGTGCTAGTAAGCAAAAGCAGCAATTATTTGTCTGGCATACTGAGGAGTATTTTTGTTCTCTTTGATCGCTAAGAAATCAAAACACAATGGTTGCCCTATTCAGTATCACCAAGGACTAGATAAAGCTGAGAACTACACCAATGCTCTACAACAGGATGCTATATAAATATGCTATAATGATACATACAGATTATTTTTATATTCCTGTTTTATTATCACAGGAGATGTTTTAATTAAGATACCAGTGTTTCAGTGAAGAACAAGTAGCTGAAGAACAAGTAGTAAAAAAACAAGTTGATACATCCAGAGGATCCACTGGGCAAGAACAACAGAGCTGGCAGATTTTGAATAGCCTGGGTCAGGGAGCCCAGATGAGTCCTCACTGTGTGCATCTCCTGCACAGTGAGCAGCCGGAGTGCAGGACATTTATTGTGCTTATGGAGTTCATAAATGCAGTGCATCCCAGATGCATCAGATTAATTTTCTGTGCCGTGTAGGAAAATCTGCCTATCTGTAATGAGTCCAGAGTGTCTGAAATGAATCAGATCTATAATGTACATAAAAATCATCTATATAGGCAAAGTAAGCCCAATTTGAACAGGTGCAGTTGTCATTTCTCTGGATGTCTCAGCTATCAGGAAGCTTCTAGAGACAGCTACTGCTGTGGTTCTGACCAAGCTGCTGTATCTGAAGTTTCCAGACAAAATTATCATAGTCCACAAGTTCCTCTGTAAATAAATGATAAGATCATGAGTTTTATGATCTAGTATCACTAGAAATAGAATTGGTGACTCTGTGTTATATAAAATTGCCAGTATCAGGAACAGGAGGCTGAAGTAATGGATCTGTTGGCATGTTTCTAATTTTCTGCCGAATGTGTCACTGAATTTAATAGTGGTAATATTTTTCTTGAAGTTAATAATACTGATTCTTTGGATAATGTACAGCATCACTCGTGGTGAACACTGTAATGACGATTTACAAATTCATCAATAAATTATGCTTAATGAGAAATGGCTCAGAGACATAAGCTGTAATGTGTATTCAGCCTTCTTCTGCTAGTTGATTCTGTGATGCAGGTGGGCTCTATTGTGAGGTTTGTCTGAATCTCACTCCTCCAAAGCTGTGGGTAACCTGGTTTTGGAGCTGTGCTTCAGAACCATATGTGCACGTAGGGATCCCTGTTCTCGCCATTAGAAGCAGCAGCCCTCAGGAAATAATGAGACAGTTGTTTGATGATATATTGACGTGTTACAGAACAGTTGGTTTTGGGAAATAAACACCATTCTCTCCAGTGTTGAAGTTGAATAGGATGTTTAGTATGCATGTAATTACTGGAACTGAAATTTGGCCAGAATCCTGAGACTGGCACTAAAGTTATTGCAGGATGAAAAGGCTCAGACTTAGGTGATTTACTATCGTGCTGCATATGTAAACCGATTCACACTGGTTGTCCATCTGCACACTTCTTGCCTGGAGCAAACACAATGTGCCTGCTGACACGGCAGCCTGAGCCACACACAGTATCTTGACTGTGGCTGAGAGCTGATGCACAGGAAGTTGGCAACCCACGGTAACTTGATTTTGTTTCTAAGGTTTCACTCTTTGAACTCTTAAAAGCTAGCAGGATTAGATATAAAAGTAAAATTCTATTAGATGAGTTCAGCTTATTTTATATAAGGAACATTAACTAGAGTAATGAGAAAGTGTCTATGCCAGGAAAACTTTCTGGTATGTATCTGTATAGTGCCAACAGCATGGCAAACTGCCATCTTGACCATGATCTCCAGGTATTACTATAATTATTACAGGAACACTAGTTTTCAAAGTAGAATATGTCTGTAAATAAAGGCAAATAGGTTTCTTCCATGAAACACTGCTTGATTTCTGATAAAGGGAAGCTTACTTTCTTCCCCATTCAGGGAAAAATTTTATGTAGAGAGCATAATGCTGAATAGAAGATAACAGTTAAAAGACAATAAACTGATTCTCTTATGGTAGTGAATACAAATATCCAACGTGCATTGCACAGCCTGCCATCTAAGGCAGATTCATATAATCTCATACAATTATCAGATAAATTGCAACCCAGGCATATTACAAGGATGCTGCTCAAAGTAAATAAAGGAAGAAATCCTGGCACAGACTGTGCTAGTCTACCAGTGGCCCCCATACCAAGTACTCAGGACAGGCAAGGACCCTGTTGTGAAGCTCTTTCTGACACATAAGTTTATTCACTCGAGTTCTGTTGTTGAAAGCAAAGGCACTATATTTTGCTTCACAAGGTGTAAGTAAGTGTCATGACAAATACAGACCTCTCTCAGGATGTAGTGTGATCTCAAAGCGGGCTTTTTATATAAAGAAGCAGGAAAATCTAAGCATGTAAATTTGTCAGGGATTTCTCAGTGAGATTGCTCTGTGTGTGTGTGTGTATGACTTGTGGTCTATATATAGTTCAATAAATTTTCTGATTTGACAAAAACTATTCTAGTTCATTTCTGTTTACTAAAGGATAGTGCTTTAAAAAACCGGTACATAAAACCTCTCTGAAGTATTCTTTACAAAAAGGACTATGGAAGTTACAGTGGAAACTTAAAACAATCAAATAATTTATGAGAAAACTTTAACTCAAGGAAAGTCCCTCCCTGATTATTTCTGTAGGCTGTTAAAGGTTATAAGTAAACCAGTTGAAGTACAAAAAAAAAATTATCTGTACAACATAGACAATAGGTCAAATTCAGAACAAGTATGATTCCACCAAAGTTGTGGGCCAAGCTACTTTAGGCCAGAGTAGGTCCTTTCCCTATAGCTGTACGTATTGTCTGTCTTTTGTGTTCATCTTTACAGACACTTAAGCAAACGTTATGGTAGTGGAGTTTGTAAATATGTCATTGATGGCACAACCCCAAGTCTGTGTAGTTGCACAGCTGTAACCTGGAGTTTCAAGTAGCCCATAAAACCTCGATTACTTTACGGTTTTCTGTTCCTTAAAGTGTCAGGTATGACATTTAATATAGATAACCAATAAATGAATGCACAGATTTTTACTTCTAAACTATGTGCAGAAATGTGCAACTCTTCTGTTCAAGTACAGATTGTTCTATGCTGCCTTTATAATTGTGCTAATTAATTTGTTTCAAAGATAGACCATAGCACTTTTTAAAACAGAACCCAATCCAAATTCCTAAGGAATTTGAGACATATTATTAGAAGCTAATTTCAGGAATTAAGGGTGGTATTGTTACGTTTAATGTGTAATACTGGAATGCAAAGGATTATTATTCATTTCCTTAAACACCGAGCAAAATCATCTTGGGAATTCTGCCAAAGTTGTATTCAGCCAATTATCACTCACATTCATATATCAAGATTAAAACAACATTAGCTAGTCCCAAAAATATACTTCCACATTGACCTTTACCTTGCAACTCTTCCCCGAAGATCTCCTAAGCCAGAAAGCTGCCGCATTTCGAGACTCTTCAGTGTGGAATTTGTTCCATAGCTGAGATTGTCTCTGACACGAATCTGTTCCTGCAGCATCTACAAAGCATTCATATGCAAATATTAACTCAGTATGTCACATTTAATGTACAATTGAATGTCAGTCATTATTTTTCAGTATTTCAGTAACACCAGATACCATTTTATAATTGCTCTATTAAAAGCTTTGCCTTGTGTTGTACTAAACCAGATACCTTTAGGTTATTTATTGTTTCTTATTCTTAGCGTCCAGTCTGCACATAAATACTGTAATGTGTATAAAGTAGAACTTGACAATATAATGGAAGTATAGATGTTAATTTTTATCCTTTCGTTTTCCTCACCACACCCCTGTTGCTCATTGCAGCAGAGGTCAGACGTGAAGTCATCTAGCAGCATACGATTAGGTCATAAAAATGAGTGCTTGGGCTTGGCTCCTTGGTGTTGTCAGTAAGTCGGAAGTGAAAGAAAATTTATTATAGAGCTAAGGCATTTCCTAGTGTTTATACAGCGCAGCTTTTGGACTGAAGTTGAGCTGGGTATTAGTGTCGCATTAATTCATTTTTTCAAGTTTTTCCAGTGCGGCTTTTGAAAGCAAGCTTATTAGTACCACAAAGGTCTCTGTGTTTATATGCTAATATCCTGTGCTATTTTCATAGCCACTGAAAGAATCATGTAATTTGCAAACAGTTTTTCAAGTTATAAAAACAATTTATAAACTCACAGGATCTTAAGACCTTGTCTGACCTTTACTTATCCTGTGGTAAACTTTCTTATTAAATTAGAAGGAATAAGTAGACTCGATGGAATTAGTCCTGTGAAAAATTCCTACCATACCTCAATGTCCCGATTAAGCTGCCTCACTATCGCCGTTATGTTTCGGATATGTTCTTCCAAGAGTTGCCTAGCCAACCGGTCACCCCCCCCTTTGTTCTGCATTCTGTGCAGAGTGGAAACAATGTCCTCCTTAATACGAAAAGCGTGTTCCACAAGCGCTGCCGTTGTTTTCTCATGGCTTAGGATTCTGTCTTCCAGCTGATCCACCAGGCTTGCAGATGCCAATGGGACCGCTGTCAACGCCTGGCTATGCAGCGGTATGTTTCGAACCCGTCTAGTGAAGAAGAATATCCAGATGTTAAGTTTTCACACAAAACTCTGCAATGTCTTTTTCCACTAGAGACAGTGCAATACTATCTTAGTAGCAATACCAGAGAGAAGCACCAAAATACTCACAGAGAGGACCCACTGCTACAGATAAGCGGGTGCTGTGTTTGCTACTGTGTGTATCTTGTACAAAGGCAGGTCAGGCTCTTTTTCCAACTCTTTAAGAAAGCTTACAAAAGCATAGGATCTTAATAAAAGGACATTAGCGTTATAAAAGTAGATAGAATTCAGAACTATGATTTGATTAAGAACCCAAATTCAAAACCCTTTTATCGAGTTTGAAAAGTAATGCTCTTTTTCTCTACAGTTTTCAGGCTTCATAGAAGTAGTAACTGTAGAAGGAAGATATTACATATGAAATGGAAACAGACTGAGATTAGAAAGGAGTAGCTTGTGTCCATTTCTCTTTTCAGTCTCTACTACTATCCTGTAATACCATATAGAAGTTTGTCCATCCATGAACTGGACAGTAGTACATGTAGGCGTAGAAACAGAGGAGATATCAAAATTATGGCAAGCTTCTCATAATCTTGGAAGTCAAATTTTCCCCCCAAACAACTTCCATTTGGATACCTCCAATAATTGTCTAGATTTTTCAAGAGAGCTCTTCACCATATAGCTTGCATGGAAAGCAATGGATCTCATGGGTGCTCAAAGTAAAAAAATTAGGCAGCTAATGCGTGCAGTCTTTTAATGCATGCGATCTTTTAATACATGCAGTATTTTCCTGCCACTATATTCTGCAAAGAATAAGGAAAATTTTCAGAAGCACCAGTGGAGGATATAAGTTCAGCTCCACTTTGAAAGAGATCTTTTTCTTGGAACTGTTATTTATTGTGTCTTCTCCATGTTGTTTCCTTCTAATGAGCCAAGTTAACAGTTTATTTTCACCATGATTCTATTGATAGGGATGTATGAGGACTGCAACAAAGGTCCCTTCTGTCTCTGAGTGTTCACACTTACTCCATGCTATTAGAAGACTGGTTGAGGTATAGTATCTTAGACTTCCACTTAGTGGCAGCTTAAGCTATTTACTTTCTTTGGGAAAAGGTTCAATAAAAGCTGAGCAAGGAATTGTGATTTGGGCCATGATGTGAATGAGTCTACAGTGCTTCACTTTGCATTGCACACTAGTGCTAAAGTCCCAAGTCGCAGCGTTACTGTATATATGGAACTGAGAGAGACATAATGCTCTGCAATATGAAGATTTTATTTTTTACATTCCAAACTGTACCTTTCAGAAGGGCCAAGAGTTGGGAAGATTGGGCTTCGCTGGGCCATTTTCTGGTCAATAATTTATGTCTGTTGAAAAAATACACATGAATTATTTACTTTCGTATTAGTACTGAAATGTAGTACTTAATGCTGCTGCTTTAAGTGAGCCTTTAAGTAAAGTTTAAGATTACGCTGACAGCTCTGATCTTGGAGTTCAAATATTGCTTATGGAATAAATGCAAATAAAAAATAGATACAAAATAATAAAAGAATGAAAACTAAAAGCTGTTAAAAAGCTTTATACAGTGAAAACTATACTCTTAGAAAAGGCAAGGTTGTCAGCCTTCAAAGTGAAATCTGCTGTTGACCTACAGAACTGGTTTGGCAGGACAGAGGCAAGCAAACCTCTTGTCCCAGTGTGTATACTGGTTTCAGACATCATTAATCAGTGAAAAAACAAGTAAGATCTACAGCATTATCACAAAGCTTAACAAAGTGCTAGCTGGAGAATGAAATAAAAGTATTTAATGACAGCAGATTATTAGGGGTAAGGCATTTTTGAGGTTAAAGCATTGGCAGTCATAAACCTAAATAAAATGTGCTAGACAACAGCATAGTTTACCAAAATTGAGACTTTTATTAATTTGTCTTCAAATCTAAATGACCACACATTATGCTGTAACTAAGAATATAGATTCTGGTTTTAATTTTTGACATAGCCAGCCAGAGTGGGATAGAAGTTGCAGCAGGGTACCTCTGTTAAACAGCTTCAGAAAGACATTTTAGATACTTCACTGTAAGTGAGACCAGTACCTTGCTCAGCAGCTTTGTTTTGAAAAAGATGGTAGCTTCAACAAAAAGATGGTAGCCTAAATCAAGTCCAGCTATTCCACCCCATATAAAACAAGTAAATATTTTAAATTATAAAGATGGCATGAATGAACATGAGCCTTAATTTCTTAGGAACCTAAAATCCTCCCTGCAAAGCCTCACTGAAGGCAAATCTATGAAAGTAATTTTGTAATTGCTGATGAAATCTGGTGCAATATGCTGTACAAATAGAAACAGAAAAATAGTGTTATTGAAATAAAATAGTCAAATATCAACTGTAAAGAAGTGATAGGACTATCCTCTGAGATCTCGAAATGCAAAGTGTGTTTGTGCTTTAGAAACGTATGAAAGCACTGCCTAAAAGCAGAGAGCAAACATTGTCACAGTGTGTGTGTTCTGTTTATAGCACAGTGCTTCAGAAACTACAAATTAGGAGAAAAATAGTTTTAAAAGAAGAAAAGTTGCTGAGCAGCGATGACACTAGGCTGGAATTAATTCTGATTCTAATTCCTTGTTCAGTCTCTGATCCTGATGACTTTGCACAAGTTGCTTCCATATCTAATGACTCTGTTTCCCTATATGGAAGGCAGAGATGGTGATACCTACCTCCTTGTTTAAGTTTTTACATGCCTGTAAGTAAAAATTAAGATATAAGAGCTGAGTATCATTATGATGACTTCTGCATTCAAAATCCTGCGCAGATACTGAATGTTCAGTCCTGCAATCTGTTCCTCACACTCGTAGTTTCTCAATTGTTTTTATAACAATGGCACTGCGGGACGTCCCTCCTAGCTGTGTGGTGAGGTTATGCGGTAACCAGGCACCCTGTTCTCAGCAGATCTGAGCTCACTTACTCTTATCCTCTGGGCCATAACACATTTTAATGATCTTGATGCAGCAAAGCATTTAAACACAATTTAACTATAACCACAGAAATACCCCACTGTTTTGAGTAGAGCTATGCATATCACAGCAGCAAAGCACTGGATGCTACCTAGAAAAATGAAGAACAAATATTAAAGTCTGTACATCTAGCAGTATCTTAGTGAAATCCACCATATAAAAACCAGCCAAACAAATCCTCAGCTTGAGTGTTTTAATCTTACAGTCTTCAGTATCCATATATTATCGATTGAAAAAGAAATAATGTTCGGAGCAGAGTAAGTATAGCATTGCTTGAAGCTTGTCCTTTTTCTGCCAGACTCCCATCAGACATGCAGCTCAATGCAAATGTCTGGAGAAATTGTGCGCATGAAACAAAAGTTACACAGACGGAAATCTCATTCATTTCTTATTGCTAACTTAAGCACATCTCTTGGTACACACTGCACTATCTCATCATCAGTGGTCAGATTTCTTGATCTGATCCAACATGCAGAAAGGATCTGTGAAGATCTCGTTCAGCAGTTGTACAAAACTTTTCTGCAGTTTGGAGGTATTTGCAGTAAACAGTAATATATAGGTGTCAAAACGAATGGCAAATTCCCTCTCTTTGAGTGTGTTAATGTCAATTTAGACTAAGAAATATGAAAGAAAAGAAAAAATAAGATGTTCTAATGCCAAGATTGAGAGGAGTGTCATTTCACATAGTTCAAATTTTAATGACAGTAAACCAGGATCAACTTAAATAGCAGTTAAAATACTGGCTTCAAGGGCTTAATTTTCTTTTCTTTTTTTTTCTTAAATGATATTATCTCCTGCTTGGTACTGCTATAGCAATTTAAAGCATGACAGATTAACCCAATAAATTTTGGTTGATTGACTTAATTTAATGAATATTCCAAATATACTTGTCGCATTGACAATACAAAGATTTTTCTCAGTTGTAAATGGTATGCCTGAAAATAATAGTTCACTTGATACGTAAGGCAGCTTTTCCATACAAACATGGGGTACTTTTTTATCTTTCTTTAAGTCGCCGACATCAGACAAGTAAAAGCTTGAGAAAACTCATACATGGGACGTGCTGAAGAAATGCTTTTAGCAATGCAAAGTTCCCTCCTTGCTCTTTGTGCTGTGGCATCCCTTCCACGCTTCAGCAGTCTGCCTTGCGTGTTTATTTTCTGTGTGTTCTCTGTTTCTCCTGTTTTGAAGGATAATTCTACCTGTAGCGTTCAGTTCTCCATCTTCCATTATAACCCATGCTCGCTGTAATGTCTGTACACCTCAGAGCATTTTTCATGTTCATTCTCTCAATATGCCTGTAGGGTAGGAGAGCATTATTCTCCCTGAAAATAGTATTTTTCCTATGTTGTTGATAGGGAAGTGAAGCGGGGGCCGTGAGGAGGCTATGTGACTTGCTGCAATTCACACGGGAATCAAAGCAGACTGAAATACCTGCCTAGGCAAACACTTTAATCACTCTTTTCTTCTTAAAATAGAAATGGCTTCAGTTGCCGTACAGGGAGCGTATGGCAGCACCGCCCCAGGAGCCGCAAGATCTCAGTGTTACTCTGAAGCACTTTGGGGCAATATTTTGAAGTAAGTGATAAAGTCCCTGTGTCGCAACTCACGAAATAGATGGGTCAAAACCCGACTGTGTCAGAGTCACATGAGACAAACCGTTGCAAAGCCCCTCTGTGCTGCTGAGTGTGTGTGCAGTGGAGTGCAGGGAGCAGAGGTAACCGAGCCAGCGCGGCCCTGAGCCGTGGGGTCCTCGGGAGGAATAAGTCTGACGAGGGTGCTTGATGGTGCTAGCACAGCTCTGCAGCCTTTTGGGATCCGAGCTGGGATGGGCGGCAGTGGCAGGATGGGTGGCAGTGACACGCCGTGCGGATGCACCGGCTCAGCCCGCGGCTCTGCCGCACAGTCAGGCCTAGGGCCCCGCGGGGGCCACCGTCTTCCTTGATGCAAGGGTCATGGGGAAGCGCGGGGGTGGCTGTGGAAGGGGGTATGCAACAGCTGACAGGACAGGACAGCGCAGACACCACTCCACGGCCATGCAACACGGAGGGACGGAGCTGGGGCAGCGTCCGGCGGGCGCAGGGCGCTGCGCTCACTCACCAGTGCTGGCTGAGGGCAGGACGGGGCTGCCCA